TTGAATATTGAGATTTCCCAGCTGGAAAGAAACAAAAGCTTTGCTAGCTTACAGGGAAAATCTCAACATTTTAAGGCGTTTTTACTCAAAATCAGGTTTTTTGTTGCTAACGCTCAAAAAAGTGCTTCAGACAGTTGATTGAAATGATACATTGATAACACATACATTTGTTATATTTTGACTAAATGTAATTTTTGCAAGTGTTTTAATCAAAACACTATGTCTGCATATTTTTCCACATACAACTTTTAGACTTAATCCTGGTTTCGATGTGATGGGTCACATATTCTGTCATGTTTTTATCACTTTGAGTGGATCAACTTACTGAGCAGCAGACAGATTTCCAAAGACCCGAACATGTGAACCAAAAGGCTTGTTTAAGGTTTAACATGAGCCGATCATGACTACATGTGTTTGTACAGTTACAGCACGATGCTGGCATGTTGGGAGGCGAGTCCTGTGGACCGACCCACGTTCACTAACTTGGTGGAGATACTTGGAGACCTGCTCCAGGCGAGAGTGCAGCAGGTCAAAAATCTAAATATTTATCCACAAGAAAAATTAAATATCTCAAAAAAAAAAAAAAAGCACAGTGATTTAATTGTTCTCTGCAACAGGATGGGAAGGATTATATTCCTCTGGGATTGTTCAGGAACGGAGACACAAGTCAAACTGAGGCCTTCAAAGAAAGCACACTGGCAGTGACAAACCTGAGGTAAGAGAGCATSGCTGCTAATAACACACACATTTGTACACATCATGTAAGACTTGTATGAGAACGGTAGAGATGTGATGTTGAAATGTCAGAAACTCAAACAGAAGGAAAGTGAAAGAGATGGGTGAGAGCTGTCAGAGGTAACTGAAAGTGTAAAACAGGTTGAGAAAGCTGAGAAGTTTTCAGCTCATGTTTTCTGTCCAGCTACATGAGAGGTATGGCCACACTTCAGACCTTTGAGGAGGTGACCTGCAAGGAGCAAGACGGCCCTGAAGTAAGACAAACACACACACAGAGAGAGCTACAGAAAAACGAGAATGTCTTTTAAAACTTTAATAAAAGCGGCACGTTTGAATCCTTTCAGGATGAGCAGAGCGACAGCGGGATGGTTCTTCCATCCGAGGAGCTGCAGCAGGTGATGAAGAATAACACAAAGAACAAAAAACTCAGCAGGTGCACAGTTTTAATCCCCTTCTCATCACTCCACACTTTATTCATAAAATGTGCCTCGAATAACGGAAATAGAAAAGACAAAACCTCTATGTGTCTCTTTTTGTTTGTTTTTTAGGCTTTTTATCTTCTCCAAGTGTCGAGACAACYTGGTGCCCTTTTTGCGCAGTGACATCACAGATCTCCGTGAGAACAAGCCCTCGACGCTGCCGCCGTGTGACTGGGAGAGTGACGAAGGCAGCTCTCCTCCTCCAGACTACAACTCTGCCTTCTTCTACCCGTCCCTTTAGCTCCTCCTGTTCAGGCCTTCAGTAACTTCACAGGGTTCATGCGTAGTCTAGGCTCATTTATGCTCAGCAAGACTTGAAGAAATCTGTTCTTGCAATAGAGTTCTATAACACCAGACTGAGCCCCGCCCATCCCGTCCACTGTTAGCATCTGTGACAACATGGRGGAGCAAAGATGGCGACCAAACTGGGCATCAGCTCACAGCCATCAAAGCAACTTTTAGAATRTAATTAGTAGTTACTTGTTGAAAAAGTACAATTTCAACTAGATAATAAAGTTAAATAAAGTATATTTATTATTATTTAGCTAAGTAATAATTACTATTTATCACTGTCACTTAAAAAATGACACTGCGTATCGGATGAAACTCATCTCTACTGACATTAGCTAACCATCTTAACAGGGCAGGTTTTTCTAATGGAAACCTAAAAATTGTTGAACATATATTATTTTACATTTTGTAAAATATATAAAAAATTATAATAKAATAAATCTAGAGAAGAAGAGTCTGTGGTCAGAAGGTTGCTGGTTCACCGCCTTGGGCCCTTAACCCCTCAGCTGCTCCCTGTGTGCTGTAACTGGCAGCCCACTGCTCCCTGTGTGTGTTCACGTGTGCGATGGGTAAAATGCAGAGAATTAATTTCCCCTCTGCGGGACAATAAAGTATAATATAATCTAAAAAAAATTTTAAATGATATAAATTAAGAGGTAAAACCAGCTTGTAATGTTTAATAATTTGTGCTAAATTCTAGCATGATTCAGCAGAGTGCAACACTAACGCTAATATCTGCTAACCAACTCAATAAATAACTGATTACATCGGCTTTATAAGCATTTTTTTTTAAACTGATGCATTATCAGCTTCAGTTTTGGTTGGATCACATCAATACTGAGGTAAATAAGATAAAATCTGCTTAGTTGTTAAAAAAGTAAGGTTTTCCTGTTTCCCTTCTGTTGGTACAGCCTTAACACACACAGCTTTATGACATTTCTTACATTAAATAGCTTATATGCACTATTATATGAATAGTTTCATTAATAGTTTTTACATGATCAGCCCGTATTGTTGTAATGATAAATCCAGACGCTCGCCTGGTCTGGTTAGCGCTGAAGCTACAGTAAATGTGGTCAAATCTCACTCCTGCTGTTCTATAGAACTCCATGGTTCTTGTTGGCGGTTGTGAGACGTTCTTTGTTTGCGTGGACATTTGCTCYGCCCACAGAATTCTGACCAGTCACMCAACACTTGGAGCACRCCACTGTGAGAAAAGGTTCTGCCAGGACCTCGTGCACAGAAYGAGAACAACACGTTTTCATCACGTGACCACGTCAGTGAGAACAGAATTCTTCACGTCTCGTGAAGTCCAAATCTTTCTTCTGCTTTTTTACTTTGCCGTTTGCATCCTCTACCTCGTAATTCCTGCAGGTGTTCCCGATGTTCTGTGAAACACAAACAAAACATGSAATTTCTTGTTTTTACTTAACACAATTCCCAAAGTTGAGCTATGTTCTCCTTCCTAAAGCAGCTCAGTATTACCTGACAGTATTCAGCCTTTACCTGTTTGAGCTTCTTGTCTTGGTACCTCCTGCCTGGAGCTTAGTGAAGAGGATCACTGCTGTATGAAATAACCGTTCCTCTTACACAACTAATATATGCTGGAATAAAAGTTATACTCAGTTAAACTCACAGTAGACAGAATGTATATCTGTATTTATTTTAGATTTGCAGCCTGGGTGTTTGTTTTTTGTTTTTGTACACCTTTAGTTTCTGGTGGATTTTAGGACATGTAACAAGTGAAATGTGCAGTTTAATGTTCCTGCAATAAAATCTGCTTTTATTGAAGTTAAAAGATGTCAGGAAGTCAAACAAGGCCAGCATTAGTATTTTGCAAAATGAACACTATTCTTATTTTTTTAGGAGGGATTGTCATTTGATTGTAAATATTGAAGCTAAACTGGCAACTGTTTGATTCAATCACTGCTTCATTGATTCAGAGTTACAAGTTTGTAAAAACCTTTATATTATATTAATAAGTATTTAATATGCAAGGATCAGTTTATTCTCTTTTGCATTATACATTTTTTTACGTTTTTAGACAAATTAAGCCTTAATCATTAAGAAATGGTTAGTTAACTCTGAAAACATCATTAATAACATACTTAATAAGCTATAAATTAACATTTATTAWTGTTTTACTCATAAAGACTTATTTCCAAAACCAACAAACTCATTGTTTATACAGGCTAAATAACTCATAAATGGTTTGGTAAGTAATTATCCTTTAAGAGTAAAGCATTAATAAATGTTAATGTATAAATCAAGTAAAAAAGAAAAAAATTGTATAGGTCCTCTGGACGGGTTCTTCTCTAATGAAACGTTTCGTCTCTCCTCCAAGAGACTTCTTCAGTCTGAGAGTTTCAGGCAAAATTCAGGCTTTTAAGCACTGCCTCCATGTGACTGATACTCACATCACATGGCTATCGTTGACACCTAATTAACACCTATTGTTAACAGGGGGTGGAGCGATACTGGCAATAGCCGCGCTGTAGGAGGGGGACAACTGAAAACGGAGGCCTCCACCTCTGTTTAATGATGGACGGTCTTTCTTCACAAAAATGGCTTCTTTTACTCCTCTCTCAAACCAACGTTCCTCCCTATCAAGAATGAGAACATCCTCATCTCTGAAAGAGTGACCGCTGGCCTGTAAATGAGTGAAAACTGCAGAGTTCTGGCCATTAGACGTWGCTCGTCTGTGTTGGGACATYCATTGGTTTGAGAGAGGAGTAAAATAAGCCATTTTTGTGAAGAAAGACCGTCCATCATTAAACAGAGGTGGAGGCCTCCGTTTTCAGTTGTCCCCCTCCTACAGCGCKGCTATTGCCAGTATCACTCCACCCCCTGTTAACAATAGGTGTTAATTAGGTGTCAACGATAGCCATGTGATGTGAGTATCAGTCACATGGAGGCAGGGCTTAAAAGCCTGRATTTTGCCTGAAACTYTCAGACTGAAGAAGTCTCTTGGAGRAGAGACGAAACGTTTCATTAGAGAAGAACCCGTCCAGAAGACCTATACAATTTTTTTCTTTTTGATTTTTTACCTGGATTACTRAGATGCATCAGGACATAACTCAAGTATGAATTATCCTTGATGGTGTCTTCAGTGTTAACTAAGCATCTATTAATGATTAAGTAAGGCTAAATCAGGTTTAGGYATTATAAAGTGCTGCCCACATTGGTTTGTAACGCAGCACACTGTAAACACTGATGTTAAAATGTAGTCTGGTTTTTCATGTTCTGGTTTGACCTGTCAYATTTCAGAATAAAATAGTTGTTTTAAAACTCGTCTTATTTGAATTCCATCTATTGAAGAAAATATTAAAAATCATTCTCTCAGTTTATAAAACAGAAGTATTTGATCACAAACATTCATAACCAACTTTTTATTTACTCATCCTGATGTGTTGAGTTGCTTTGTAAAAAACKAAATTCCCTAAAAGAAAGACTGCATCTCAGTTTTGGTTTTTCTTACGTTGGGGTTTATTTTTAGAAAATTAGGAACAAGGTTGTGTTCATTAGGTTTCATTTTGACAATACTCTGTTTCTTTTGTACTTTCAGTTTTATAACAAGGTAAAAACATGTTATAAACTGAGATCTGAGCTAGAGGCAGGATGTTTTAACATCTTATTGTCAAACCATAACATGTGACACGTGCTCAAATAACTTCCTGCTGCTCTAAAACCTGAGTATTGTATAAAGATCTGCAGTAAAGCTAAGATACACACATATTTACTGACCTAAACTGCACTAATTAACTGATATTTTGTTGCTAATGAGCGGCAGTGTTCTTTAAAGATATAAAACACAAGTTTGTTTCTAGATTTGTTGTTTGACATTTTGAAGTTTGAGCCTCTGCAGTGATATATATTTTTACTTAAAACATTTGGTGCTTTAGGATGAATGTGGTCTCATTAGGTTTTGTTTTTACATTTGCAGTCATTAAATTTGTTTTAAAAGATACACATTTCACTTCATCTTAATTCCTCTTTTAAAGAAAAACTGTCCAATCAGAAAAATATGTTTTTTTTTTTCTTTTTTAAAGCTTTTATCTAGAAAGGAAGCCTAACATAATGAGACATATCATATCCTGCTTTTAAATCTTTTTCACATTTAACTCATTCGATTGGGGTCTAGATAAAGAGGAACTGCAATGATTTGGTCTGAAATCCTCCTTATTGYATCTCCACAAGCCCCGCCCCTTTTCCGAGGCATGTCTCAGATCAACTCGTTTTGATGCTGTCTCTTCACACCCAGCCCCCCTCTAACTTCCAGACCGGTCCATTATAATATGATAGAGGGGTTTACAACTATATAGCAGCACAGAAACATTTTTTTTTTACAAATGAATTAAAAGATGTCAACAAGAGAAGACTTGTCCATCCAGCCTCACATGTTGGAGCCAGAGTCTGACCCAGAGCCAGAGGAGAATTAAGACCAGACATTATTTAGTAGTTCTGTCGCAAACTCTGACATAATTGTTAAATAAACTGAGCGGGGTTGAAAAATATGACCCAAATATCACTCAGACTCCAAATACACAACCAAATGCATTTAACAGCTAAAAAAAGTGGATTTTTCATGATATGTCCTCTTTAATCRATGTGAGATTATTTATGATTTCAGCAAAAAAATAAATAAATATATAAAACCGATTCACACTTCAATATCATTTTTCCTGTTCTTTATTAAAATACTGCTGTACACACAAATATTGCAAAATCTGAGACAAGAACACAAGAGGGGCATAAAACATACTAAGATGGTGATTGTAGACATGTCGCTGGGGGGTGGGGGTGGGGGGGGCAGGTGTCATCATTATTATTAACCGGAGTGTGTGTTATGTGGTGTTGAGCATTGACATCCTGTATGAGGAGGTGTGTGTCTGCGTGTGTTGGAGGTTTTCTAAAGCACCACATTCACCAACATGTCGCCTGTTTATTTCACTAAAACAGAGGAAGTGGTACATGATGTAACCTGGCTCACCTGTTGCCATCAAGAACAGACCGACGACTCAAAAGGCGGACAGCCGATGAGACGACACTTCATTTAGAGACCATCTGGTTCCTCCTGTTTCTTCACAATCAAACAAGAGGATTTGTTTTGTCTTTTATTGGATTGATTGGATAGGTTAAAAAATATATATCTTTTTTTTATTATTATTTTTTTGCAGTTTAAGCCAAACGAAAAGAGATCTGTGCTTCAGGGCAACATGAAATCCTTCGCAGCATGATCTCCACAAGGTTTCTTAAACTTTCTGTTTGAAGTTGTCCCACCCGCTCCAATGAAGTTCATTTATCTGCCTGGACATGGAGGGGATGGGGGGCAGCCAGTGACACCCAAACACATTCAATCACTGGGCCCCTCCAGCAGTTATTTTTTTTTTTTAATTTTTTTTTGTCATCCTGAGAGAAATCCAAGCCATCCGAGGTGGACGCAACAGCCAGCGCGCCACTACCGAGTCTCTTTCCATGATCTTAAAACATCAAATTAAAAAAATAATAATACAATTCCCATCTTTTTCGTCCCCCCCACCCTAATTTTATACCTAAAACTTCTGCTGGAATTGGTCCACACATTATTAAAAGAGTGGGGCAAAAAAATAATAATAATCGATTGCCCCTCCCATGTCTCGTCGTGCATTTCTGCACAAAGCTGGGCGAAGAGAAAAAGAAGCAGCTGGTAAAAAGTCACAACGTTTCACTGTTTCTCAAAACAAAAGCCCCCGCCCTGAAGGGAAGTGACGTTTGGGATAAGATGAAAAGAGGAGGGCAGGTAAGAGACAGAGAAGGGGGAGATTGTAGGGGAGTGAGAAGACTGAAAAGGGGGCGGGGTCAAATTAAGGACATTCCACAAAGAGGCAGCTGTGGCTCCACTAGTGCTGACCCGAAAAGGCCCATCTTTGATGTCACAACAGTGTCCATAAACCAAAAGGTGGTTGCTGCATAAGTAACAAATCACTTGGAGAGGACAACCGTTCCTCACTTACCCCCACTGCAACAGAATCTGGTCCCGAGTCCAAAGCCCCGCCCACCCACAAATATGAGCCTTTATCTCCTGACCAAAATGTCAGAAATCCTCATTTTCCAGTTTAAAAACCCTTCCACCTAGCCCCAGTGGTTCGTCCTTTCACGAGGTGGAACCATCAAACAAGGCGGAGGTGGGCTGGCCCGGTTCAAGAACCGGGTAACACCCCACCACAACAAAGGCCTTGAGTGGTGCGTCCCGTCTCTGAGTGCGTAAGAATGAAGGGGTGTGATCTCCAACCCGCAGAGAAACGTGGTCAAAAGAAAGCTGGATTTCTTTGCTTTCAGCTCTGGTCTGTGTGTGTGTGTGTGTGTGTGAGTGTGTGTGTGTGTCTGTGTGTGAGACTTTAGGTCTCTGTGCACCCT